ATGAAGAGATAGGTTATGTGATAGACAACTAGCAATCTCTGCCACATTTTCCCACTTTTTTTTTTTTTTTTTACCATATCTGTTTCTTTACCTAGATTGTAAAATCTTGGAAGGTTTAGAATATGTCACATTCATTTTGTATTTCTAGAGCCTAGCATAGTACAAGACACTCAGTGGTTTACTGTTTATTTCCTTCACCTACAATATGAAGGGTTATTCTGTGTAGTCTGCGGAGATAGAAAAGATTCCATGTTTTACCAGAACAATTTTTTGTGCTTTATGTTGACTTTATTATGTCCTCAATTATTTAAGAAAACAAAGCTTCCTTATTTATGTAAGGACCAAGATTCTTAACAATCATGTTACCTTCTATATTTATCTTCAAATGTCTTATTGTTCCCTTCATATGAATAGCCAAATACTGTTTCTTAGCACCAACTATCCTATTTTAAGTGTTCAAATCTCTTGATAACTTTTGATTTTTTCCTTTCTAAAATTGAATCCTAAATGTAAAATGAAATAAAATAACTTTCAGGATATCTTTTGCACCTGTAGTTATCTTTAACATTTTCAAGAGGGTCCCTGGACAATCAAAAACTTGTTCTTTCACCTTATAAAAAGAGAGGTGCTAGAAACTGTTATGTTTATTCAATGTTACTGTTGATGAGTTGCATGGGAAGAGTTGTCCAATCAGAAGAGATGCTCAGACTTCCCCAGATTAAATTTGTGTGGAGAAAATGTTATTAATATAAAAATTTCAGAAATTATATGCTATATGGGAAGTACCTAGAGATTTCTCAATTCCCTCAGTCTCCATGATGTTTGTTTATCAGAGTCCTAGTAGTGCTTTTCCTGAGAATATTAGGTAACAGCAACATAGTGTTACCAGTTATAATTTCAGTTATTATTATAAACTTTTACTTGGCCACATCTTATGAATTTGAATCTAGCATCTGAAGGTGAGTATTTTTTTAAAGATTTTATTTATTTATTTGAGAGAGAGTGTGAGACAGAGCATGAGTAGAGGGGGAGGGGCACAGGAAAGGGGGAAGCAGGCTTCCCGCTGAGCAGGGAATCCAAGATGTGGAGCCCCATCCCAGGACCCCGGAATCATGACCTGAGCTGAAGGCAGATGCTTCACCGACTGAGCCACCTAGGCGCCCCTCAAGGGCAGTGGTTTTTAATTGAGGATGCACATCGGACTTAATTATGGAGTTCCATTAAAATATAGATTTTTGTACCTGTTCCAGACTTACTGAATCACCTTATTTGATATTCATATTCTACCAATATGTATTCTCCTGTATGTTTGGTATATTCATAGTATAGAATATACATTATATCTCTGTATTATTATATGTTATATCTTAAGTTTTTTCTTTTTTAAAGATTTATGTATTTATTTTAATGAGAGAGAGCATGAGCGGGAGAGACAGAGGGAGAGGGAGAAAGACTCTGAAGCAGATTCCATGCCAAGTGTGGAGCCCAATGCAGGAGCTCAATCCCACAACCCTGAGATTACAACCTGAGCTGAAACCAAGAGTCAGATGCTTAACCAACTGTGCCACCCAGGAGCCTCAAGTTTTTTCCTTTATAAAAGTTATTTTCATTAATTTTTTGTAAGGAGGTAATATTCGCTATCTTTGCTGAAAATAGGCTCAGTAATCCTTATAGATATTTTTCCTAAAACTTTGGGAATTGGCTTTATTATTGGGATTGTCTCTGATATCATACATTTGGGCCCATTGGTTTGTCCTCTAGCAAAAAGGATCAGCAGATAATTTAATTCAAGAAAGGAAAAGAAGTTAGGGGTCTCTGATTTGAGAACTGAAACTCTAACTACTTTAGAGGAATTCTGGATTTCTTTTTTCTCTCCTCAGCCTTCTTGGTTTCATGGTTTATAAGAGGTCCAGAAAGTAGAGCAAGTCCTACATGCTGTGGTTCAGAGCATAGCAAGCAGTTTAGACAATGCCACTGCAACAGGCTGAATGGTAGTCCCCTAATGATATTTCCACTTCCTCATCCCTGGAACATGTGACTATTAATATGGCAAAAGAGCGAATGTTACTATATATGGCAAACCAAAAAATGTGAATAAATTAAGGATTTTGAGAGAAGGACCTTATCCTGGATTATCTGGGTGGGCCCTAAGTCCAAAGACAAATGTCCTTATAAATCAGAGACTGGGTAATTTGGAGAACAACTTCATACCTGGTTTGACAGTCTTTGGATTGGGGCTGAGATCTCTTCCCTTGGTTTAATATGGGCACTTGGCTCCTGGCTGAAAAGTGAACCACAAACTGTAATAAGTAATACATTCAAGCTTTGTTTTATCAGTAGGTTGTGTTGGTGATCTTTGGGGAGTTAATTATATATATATATGTATATATATATATATATACATATATATATATACACATACACATTATATATATATACATTTTATATATAACATTTTGTGTATCTAGATGTAGATATAGATACATACACACACACATACACATCAATCACATGAAAACATTAACAGGTGTTAGATCATTGGGTCAAGTCTAATATATTTCTATCCAATAGTAACCCGAATGATAAAGACTGGTTGACAATTCTCAATCTTGTTTAGTCTCCATGACCCTCTTGCAGCCCATCAGCTCTCTGGGAGGTAAATTATGCATCTGAAGGCAGGTCATCCCAGGGATTCTTTCTAGGCCCAGACTGTCAGAGAAGGTAGGGAACTACTATATCCATGTTTTCAGAGAAATAGGAATTAGGAAAGATCTTGTTGGAGAATGGAAGGGAAGGATGAATTGGGTAAATGCATTCAGACTAGGTACACCCAAGGGACAAACCAAACAAATTAAAGTGGGGCAAGGAGGAAGGATGCACAGCAGTCATCAACTCCTAGTGGCGAAGAGCTTGGTAAAGATGTATTAATACATTATTACCTTATATTTAAGTAAATGTTACACACACAGTGCACATACCCTGTTTACTGCTCTCATTATCTAATTAGTGTTTCTCAATTGAGAAATATATTGGAGGGACCTCTTTTAAAGGAAAAACGTTCTCTTAGACTCAAGCATTTATGTAAATTCTTTTTATAGTATTTCTTAAATGTAAACAAACAATGAAATAGAAACTGCTGTTCATAACGCTCTTATACAAATTTAACATCAAAGTAAATTTACAAATTGTGCACAAATAAAAAAATGTTAATTTAATGTGGTACATGATGTTTACTGAGACAAAACTGCTCTTAGAAACCTGCACAAACTACTGACTGGCCAGCATGTGTTCTTGGCTTTCAACATGCTTGTATGTGAGTCTTGTGAGGACCCTGCTTTCCCATCACTCTCCTTTTCCAAACTACCAATCTTCATCTGTATAGTAAGCCATGAAGTAGGAGGTACACCTAATTTATTTTCTTACTAGTTCATGACAGTTAAAGTAGTATTGTTGCCAATTTGTCAAATACATGTCCTAATTAGTTACCATTGTCATCCAGATACTCCAGGATATGCTTAAAATTAAAGTAAAAGTAAAACATACTTGTAAAAAACTCGCAGACTCTGAGTACCTACATTATTATGCAGTGCTTGAGTCTTGTTAGTGGGGACTAAGCCATTGCCCATTCAGGCTCACTGGGAGTGGTGCATTGGGGACCACAAGTCAAACCATCATCACCCTCACATCCATGATTTTTAAATTAAATGAAAGAAGAGAGGCACACTCAACAGTCAGGTAACCAAATAACTGAAGCAAGACCATATATACATTTTAAAGAAGTGGTTGAGTTGTTTTCATTATAAGTTGCATTGGTAGGACATGGCACAGAGATTAAGACTGTTTAGGGCTGGTGTGTGACAACTCCCCATTTCTCCCAGCCTCCTTTCTCCTTCCCTTCCTCCTGGGTTCTTTCACCTTTCCTCTTTTTTGCACCTAAGTTTTATGTTTCCCTCAAAGTTCAATGTAATGATTTTTTCCATAAAGCTAAATATATTTAATGTTTTTATTAAGAGATTATTCCCTCATTATTTTATATGAAAATGTGCTTCCTTTTATAAAGTAGTAGCAGTTTAAAAAATTGTCTTCATTTGGCGAAATAAGAAATTGGAAATCTTGTGTTTTCCTCCAAATATTAAAAAAATATTTTACATGTCCAGTATCTGCAACCACTTGTCTGGAAAGCAGAGAAAAGAGAATGAGAAAGGAGGATAGAATGGTATGTGACACCTAGTAAGTTGACTTAAGTTGCACAAGTTAAGCGCCATAATGTACTTTCTACTGGAGCACTGACAGGAATATGTAAGACTCATTGGGAGTCAGGGAAGGCTTCACAGAGGAGGTAACTTTTGAGCTGGGGCTTTAAGGATTAGCAGGGGAGAACCCGCAGGGCTTTCCAAGCAGAATGCATAATGCGAGCAAGAGCACAGAGCACAAAAGAGCACTGCGTGTCTAGCAGCTCTGAGTAGCCTGGTGGCTGTTATGTAGAGTTCTCAGGGTTAGAAGATCAAGGGTGAGGCAGGGACTATTTTTTTTTCTTACTTGGCTCATTTCCCCTACAGTTCATTGCACAGTGCTGGGCACACACACTGCCGGAGCTCAATATAACTAAATACTCATTGAATTGGGACAGGGTGGTCGAGTACGCTGGGAACCAGGGCATCTGGATTCTTTCTCACGCACTCGCAGTGTGACCTTGGCCAAGTCCCTTCTCTCAGGGCTGCCGCTTGCTGCTTATTAATCAGCCGTGGGTGAAAAAACAGAGGTGGTTGGCCTGAAGCGCAGGGCCGTTCCAGCGCCAGGAAGCCCAGATTTCGACGCGTGGAGGGCGGGCGGGCGGAGGTTCAATTCCTCCTCCGCTCCAGCAGGGGGCACAGGGAGCGGCTTCCCAACGCCTTTCTCCTCCCGGAGGGCGCCGGCGGATTGCAGCAGTAGCGAGTGGCAAGCGCGGTGGGCGGGCCGGGCGGCGGCGGCGGCGGCGCTGGCGGCGGCGCTGCGCTGCGCTGCGCGGGCTGGGCTGGGCCGGGCAGCGGCGGCGACGGAGACGGCTGCCGAGGCCACTGAGGCGCTGACCGGGTGGCCAGTCCGCTGCTGTGCCCTCTAGCAGCCCCTTAGCGCGGCCGGCATTGGCCCGGCGGCATCTGGCCACGGCGCTCAGCCTGCTAGTGAGCTGCGGTGGGCACACCCCGGCCTCGGCGGCGGCGGCGGACAGGTTAGAGTGGGGGAAGGGGCAGGCGCGGGAGCAGCCCGGGGCCAGAGAGGGAGCCCAAAGCCAGGCCGTCTCCAGCCATGTCCGACGAGACGTCGGCCACCACTTCGTACGAGAAGTTTCTAACCCCCGAGGAGCCCTTCCCGCTTCTGGGACCCCCTCGCGGGGTGGGCACCTGCCCGAGCGAGGAGCCAGGCTGCCTGGACATCAGCGATTTCGGCTGCCAGCTTTCCTCTTGTCATCGCACGGATCCACTCCACCGCTTCCACACCAACAGGTATGAACCGCCCCTTAGGGCAGGCGCGAACTGTCCACACCCCTGCCTCAAACGGGGGAACGCTGGGTCGTTCCCGAACCTGGCGCTCCGCCTCGGGTCTGCGCTTCCATTCGTCCCCTCCCCCACCTTCCTCCGACCAGTGCTCCTTCCCTGCTCCTTCCCTGTTCCTTCCCTTTCCCCCTCCCTATTTTCACCCCTGCCCTCCGATTTTCCTTTCGGCCGGCATTTTACTTGCTCCCTTTTCCCCATTCATCTTCTGACCAGAGCGATGCCTGCCTTTCCCCTCCTGCCTCATCTGTGCCCGGAGAATCTCAAATCCGCATCCTCAATTTTAAGATGCATCCCTGTTTCCATTCACCTGAAAAAGTTTAACCCCTTCCATTTTCCATACGTTCTAGAGTAGATTTCGGATGACTCAAAACCAATCTCTGGTTCTTTTGAAAGATGGCACTTTTTTAAAGCTAGAATCTTACATTTCCCGATTTTTAATCTGCCTCACAGCCCCATTTCCACTCCCACCCCAATTTTTTTTTGGTGAAGCTCTAGGAAACCAGACGGTCCTTCCCGCCCCCCTCCTTATGAACTCTTTGCTTTACCGCTTTAGGCCCTGCCAAAATGTATAAGCTTAGATCTGGAAGGTTCTTTCATGTAGCTTATCCCTTGGTTTGCTCCCCCAGTGGAGGGATGGAGCTAAGCTTAGGATGGGCTTGCTTATACAAATTTACTCAGAGGGTGCACCTCCTAACCGATTTTATTGGAAGCTAGAGTGTTCTGGAGAATTCTCTCATGCAAGCATTTGAGTATTATGGGGGATGTGAAGATGTTGTACACATAGCCCCAACCTATAATAGAGGTGCATATTTGAGAGATATGTACCAAGGCCTGGGAGGGTGTGTGGAGAACAAGCGAGGAGATGGGTTCAACTATGGAAAATCTTGGCATTGAATTAAGGAGTTTAGTTCTGATTTCTGGTCCACAATATGAGCATGAACAAGTCCTTCCACACTTTAATGTCTTTTGCATGCCCTCCCCCACCTCTTAAATCAGTCTGCAGATTTACTGAGCTTTTGCCAGGTACAAGGAGTGTATAAAACATCATTCTTCCCTAAAAGAAAGTTAGAGTCTGGAAACGAGGTGTTATAGTTAAATAGAAGATCAGCATAACACATTTGAAAAGGAAGTGGTAGTAAATTTGTTACTTTTCCAAATCTTCACTGCAAAAATGAGGAAACTGAGGCCCAGAGAGGAAAGACTAAGTTCAAGGTCATAAAACTGAGTTAGGCAAAGCCAAGATTACTTCTTTGGAGCCAGTGATGAAACTTGGAACAGAACTAATGGCTCAAATGTTATAAATGGTTGTTATAGTTTCTTAGACTGACTCACAGAAGCTTACTTAACCCATGATGTGATTTTAACATGAGTGTAATGTATTTATGAAATCAAGTGTGCTTAGGATTGTTTGCATTGGAAAACAATATGAAAGACTACTTTTGCACATATTTGGTATTTAAGTTTTGCAGCATTGGAGCAAGTCCTATAAACAGGAAAGTGAAATGATTTCGGAATTAACCTGCTCTGATGATGAGGGCAAGGGAGTGGGGAAAAAGGCTAAGGGTAAGCACTGCCAAAATTGGTAGGGTGATGAAGAGTGAAGCAAGGAGAATACATTTCTTACAGCTTGTTCTATTCCTTTTTCTCGTTTCCATTTTTCTCTTGTGTTTTTCTATTCCTTTTCTTAGAGACCGAGGTAAGGCCAAGGTTGTTTTCCAGAATGGGGCAGTTAAGATAGAGGAGGTTCCTGTTCAGCCCCATTTTTCCCAAGTCAAACATTTTGCCTGCTTTTTAAAAACCTCCATCTCCTACCGTACTTTTCTGAAGGCTTGGAATGGCACTAGGATGTCTAATATATTTTGATTTTGTACCCTTTTCAACAGAGATTAGGGCAAACAGAAGTAGCGATATTTACATCAGATGATGTTTCTGCCTTAGGCTACCTTGCTTTTTAAATCTTTTCTCATTCTGGAATGTTCTTCCTTTCTGCCCTTCCTCAAGATGGCATTTGAGAGGACCATATACTTCCAGTCAGTCCTTTTCAGGGAGAAGCAAACAGCTAAGTCATGTATGTAGGCAAAGTTTAGTTTACATAATTTTTTATTTTGGATTTGCACGTGTCACATCTTTTCTTCACATCACCAGTTCAAGCAGCAATTCAAAGACAGATCTCCATAGTTGAGTATTGATGTTCTGCTTTGCGTTTAGTCATTATAAAACATTTTACTGGAAATAAAATGCTTGTCAGTTGGTAGATACTTGGTTTACCTTTATTTTGCATCTTCCTTGTTACCTGATAAGAAAACTATGGAGATTATTTAATGCCATTGATAAGAGCCTTATGATGATGGCAGTTTTATGCCTGCTCATTTACTGGACTTTGGGCTGTATTTGTAATCTTCCTTAACCAGGGGATTCAGGGCACTATTAATTTATGATCCCTAAGTTTGAATGTTTATAGTGTTCATATTAGAATCACCTGTGACTGAGGTTGGCATGTCACTACTCTAGGTTCAGTGGAAAATTACATGAACACAACCACTTTCCTAAGAATTCACACATTCCTAGGAGTATCTTTTAGGATTTTATGACAGAGTTGGGTTTGTCTGGAAGTTTGGTAGAGTAAAACAAATTTCAATAAACTAAGAAACTTAATTATATTTTTAAAGATGTATTTATTTGAGAAAGAGTGCACATGTGCGAGATGGGGGCAGGGGCAGAATGAGAAAGAAGAGAGAGAATCTCAAGCAGACTCTGTGCTGAACTGGATGCGGGGCTTAATCTCAACCTGAGATCATGACCTGAGCCAAAACTAAGAGTTGGACACTTAACCGACTGAGCCACCCAGGTGCCCCAATTATTTTTTAATTTAAATGTTAATATGGAATATATGTGGTGTTTAAGACATTTTTCTTTGGTTTTGGCACAGGATGTTTCTGATGTAATTGTGGGTTTTCTTTTAGCATTTGTCCATGGCAGCCTCCACCATTATCAAAAAGGGAAGTCATTTACCAAATTGAAATAATTATAATATTGGTAAGTTCTGTAATTAAATTGTGAGATGAAGGAGGTTAATACGAACTACTTGATGTGTTATTCTCTTCATCTTTTAGTAGTACATCAGTACTTTGACATTGAACAATTGTGAAAAGTATGTGAGAGGACAGTGTCTCACTTTTGTTCACCCTATTGGCAGGATAGGAAATGAACTATTGTATAAAGCAGTTACTCAGTTATGTGATTTTAGAACCCTATTTCAATCATTGTTAAGTAGAAGAACCCTGAGACTACTATATACCTTTTGTACTACCCACTGTTTTCCTATCTCAGTATAGAATTAACAGTTGCATCAGAGCTGTGAGTTAAAGGTGGGAGAACCATGGTCCATGAAGTAACAGATTATAGAGGCAGGAAGAATTTGGTTTGGGGGCTTGTTCAGACAAATTGAGAATGGGGATCAGGCTTGGGAGAGCTATCCAGCCTAATGTGGATTTGGGAGCATTCAGAATGGAAAGAACAGTAGAACAATAACGTGTTAGGAGTAGAACTGTGGGTTACAAGGGTTGAGAGAAGAAACTTTTCAATAAATTTAGCAGGGAAAGGAAGGAGAAGAGATGTGGTAATCTGAAAAAAAAAGGTGAAGGTTTCGTTGTTGTTTGTTTGCCTTGTTTAGTTTTTCTTTTCCAAGAACAGATATTTTTAGCTCCTTAGAAGTAGCCCACAGGAAAGGGAGAAATTGAAAATATGAGAGAGTGTGGGATGATAGGAGATGGCTGGGATGAACTCAGAACACGAATGGAATATTTATTCTTAGAAATGACATGGAATGTTTTTTACTTCCAAGACTATAGAGAGGGTAAGAGGGATGGATAATGATACCAAGACAATTAAGATCGCTAGGAGGAGAGTTGGGAATTTGAGTAGAGTCGGGGGATTGTGTCATCTTCTCTAACTTGGGACCTTGATGGCCTACTGTGCTCCAAAATTGTAGCAGAGGTGGAGGGGTGGCTATATGCAGGTTTTGGCAGATAAGCTTTGCAGATAAATGTTCTTGGCTTTACTTTTTTTTTTAATTAAAATTTGGGCAGCAAGCCTACTTATTGCATTAAACTCCATTTCATTAGGATTCTTTTCAACATTTTTCTTTTAAGGTAGAAAGTCTCCTTTGTGAATAATTTTATGGTTATAGCTAGGATCTTAGCGTTAGGTAGCTTTCTCCTACTGGAATAAGATGTAAGGCCTTTGTAGATTTGAGTAGTTCAGTGCTGAGCACATGTACACAGTGGTCGTTCATTACACATTTGAAACCAACAGAACAGTCTAAAAGAATCACACTTAAATTTTTATTACAAAAGCTTACTTTAGAAATTGGCATATACAAAACTGTAAAGATCACTCATGATCCCTTTCAGTAAAGATGACAGCTGTCAGCATTTTGATGTTGTTACTTTTAATGTTCTTTTTATGTTCATATGTAATTTTTAAAAATCAGGATATATAATTGGTGACCAGGTTTTTACACTTACATTGTGAGTGTTTTTCTTTTCCAAAAAATAGTCTGAAAATATAATTTTTAGTTTTTTTATTTTTTAAGATTTTATTTATTTATTTGAGAGAGAGATAGCAAGTGAGAGAGAGCTCGAGCTGGGGCAGGGCGGGGGGGGGGGGGGAGAAGCAGGCTCCCTGACGAGCAGGGAGCCTGAAGTGGGACTTGATCCCAGGACCCTGGGATCATGACCTGAGCCAAAGGCAGACGCTTAACTGACTGAGCCAACCAGGCGCCCCTGAAAATATAATTTTTTTAAAAGATTTTATTTATTCGAGAGAGAATGTGAGAGAATGCGTGAGTTGAGGGGAGAGGCAGGGGAGAGAGAGAATCTCAAGCTGACTCCACAAGGAGTCAGTGCACAGAGCCCCACAGGGTGGGGGGCATCCTCCATCTCACAACCCTGAGATCATGGCCTGAGCCGAAATCAAGAGTCAGGCGCTCAACCGACTGAGCTACCCAGGTGCCCCCTGAAAATATAATTTTTAATGATTAAAAAACACCATTATTTAGATATGTTATTTAATTATTCCCCATTTTGGGGGGCATTTCTTTTCCCTTTGTTGGCTATTACAAATGATATATTTTGGACATACATTTTTTTCCCAATTTCTATTTGGGGAAGTGATAGATTCCTGAAAGGGCGATTACTGAGTCCAAAGGAATGAACTTTTTTGAAGCTCTTGATATATATACAGTAGCAAATTGCTTTTCAGGAAGATTATGCTAATTTAACACTCTCACCAGCAATGAATAAAAGTACTACCTACTTTGTTTTTGTTCAGATTGCCTTAAAGTAATAATAATATTTGGAAATTAGAAGATAATAGAATTTTTTTAAATCTCTAGTAGTAAAAATATTATTTTTCTATTTTGTAAATGATTGGTTTCAAGTATGAACCCAGTATTTTTTACCACTGTTAATTAAAAAAAAAAAGAGCAAAAGCTTCTAAGAATACCCAGAATCCTGTTAAATCTGTTATAAAGTAATGGACCTAGAAAACTGAGAAACATACTGATTTTGCCCTACATTAAGAGTACAAAACCAAGCAAATTCCTGTCTTGTCAGTGATCTAACCATTAGGTTATTAAATCTAGCATAGTTTTTTGAAAAGGAAAGTCATTACTAGTCACGGAGGGAAATACATTTCTACTGAATTTTTGCAAGCTCAGAAAAAAGTTCTCATTAAAAAAAAATTACTTAACAACTTTTCCTACCAGATAACACAGTACTTGGCCTGTAGAAGATACTGTTTGTTGAGTGGATGAATGAATAAAGATTGAAAAAGCTCACATGCAATTTGAAGACACAAAAGAAAAAACAATTTGCCCAGAAAACGGCATAGATAATGGTTTACTAGGTCTAGGAGAGTGATTGCCATTTTTTAGCTTTTATATTGTCTTATTGTACATCCTGAACAATTTGGTTAATTCTACTAGGTTTGTTGAGTTTTTAAAAAATGAGGATACTGCCTGTCTAGTAAGCATGTGATGAAACTAGGTAATATTACAAGGTATTCTAAGATGTTAGATGAATTTTAGATTTTTGACTATTTATAAAAGCTTGTTGACATCTGTATTGATGGTTACTGAACCATAATAGTTTAGAGAGTGTGTGTCTGTATGTGTTTTGATCCTTTAAAATATTTTACATTTAGCTCAAAGGAAAAAGTGCCATAAAATTGTCAGATTGCCCAAATTTTGTAAATCAAGAACTTTGAAATTAAGATTAATAATACAAAATAAGGGGGGAGTTAAAAAATGAAAAACATGGTTCAAGAAAAAAATGGGTTTAATGAATGATGAGAAACAACCTAATAATAGGTAAGTAACAGGCTTTTCTTCAGGAAGTCATTATTTCAGTATCTTATTAGTATCGGATATACGAAATCATTATCTTAAGGATTAATTCCCTAGGCTACTGCCTAAGCAATGAAGATTATCTTGTTAACAGTATGAAGCTAGTGGAAATTTACAAAAGAAAATAGATTTGTAGATTTCAAGAAAAAAGTAACCCTGCAACAAATACCACAGGCAAAATGTTAATATTTTTAATGCATCAAGAACTCATAGAATCAGTAAGGAAAACATTAACACATAGAAAAACACTAGAGCAAAATAGCTAATTAATATTTTAAAATTTGATCTTGGCAGTATTTGAAGAAATAAAAATTGATATAAAAAATTTTTTTTTCGGGACACCGGGTGGCTCAATTAAGCGTCTGCCTTCAGCTCAGGTTATGATCCAGGGTCCTGGGATCAAGTTCCGCATCGGGCTTCTTGCTCAGTGGGGAGCCTGCTTCTCCCTCTGCCTGCCACTCCCCCTGCTTGTGCTCTTTCTCTCTCTCTCTGACAAATAAATAAAATCTTTAAAAAAAAAGTTTTTTTTTTTCCCCCCTATCAGATAGGTCAAACTTTAAAAATGAAAATTCCAGGGGCGCCTGGGTGGCTCAGTCGTTAAGGGTCTGCCTTCGGCTCAGGTCATGATCCCAGGGTCCTGGGATCGAGCCCCTCATCGGGCTGCCTGCTCAGCGGGAAGCCTGCTTCTCCCTCTCACACTCCCCCTGCTTGTGTTCCCTCTCTCGCTGTCTCTCTCTCTCTGTCAAATAAATAAATAAAATCTTAAAAAAAAAATTCCAGTGCTGTTAAGGTTGTGGTGAAATGAGCAATTTTTATATACTGCTTTGGGGAGTGTAAATTGGTGCAGCCTTTCAGAAAGGCATTTGACTAAGTATGATATGACCTTGAGAAGTGTTCATATTCTTTGACTTAGTACTTTGCTTTCAAGTAATCTATCTTGAAAGATTGTGTTTTGTTTTTGTTTTTTTTAGTCTTTTATTAAATTAAATTAATTATAAATTAAAAAGTCTCATGATCTATTTGACCTTATTCCTTCAGTAACACTTAGGCTGTTTCCATTTTTTTGGTATTACAAATAATACTGAGATGAACCTTTCTATTTATAATTATTTATCAAAATACATAAACCCTGGGATCATGACCTGAACCGAAGGCAGATGCTTAACTGACTGAGCCACCCAGGCAGCCCTAGGTACAATTTTCTTTTAAAATATTTTATTATAAAAAATTTCAGACAAATACGAGAGTAAAGGGAATAGTGTAATGAGTGTCATATATCCATCACCCAGCTTCAACAATTATTCACATATGGCAATGTGTTTTATAGCACTACTCATTCCTCAAACCCTTACTATTTTGTGAAAAATCCCAAATATATTTCATTCATAAATGTTTTAGTATACATGTTTAAAAGATAAGGGCTCTTTTGAAAATAATCACAATATCATTGTCATACCTAAAAATATATTTACATTCTTCATAAGTGTCTTGAATTTGTCTCCTATGAATACCTTAAAATTGTGTGGCTTCTGGAGTTCCTGTTGTGATTTCTTTTGTGTTTTGTTTTTAAGGTGGAACTTAACTTCTTGTGGAACAAGTGTTGCCAGCTCAGAATGCAGTGAGGAGCTATTTTCATCAGTTTCTGTTGGAGATCAAGATGATTGCTATTCACTGTTAGATGACCAAGACTTCACTTCTTTTGATTTATTCCCTGAGGGGAGTGTCTGCAGTGATGTCTCTTCTTCTATTAGCACATACTGGGATTGGTCAGATAGTGAGTTTGAATGGCAGGTAGGTTTGGTTTTTTTTTTTCCCTTATATTACCATCATTACTCCATAAATAGAATAATGAATTTCTATTTTGATATTTTCATCTCTGACAACATTAAGAATTAGATGGAATATGTATCCTTTATTTTTGCTGTTGTACCATTTAGGCTTCTGATGCTACAGATAACCTTTTTGTGGATTTTCATGTAATTTAATACTTGTATAATGTTCTCATTATTATATATTATCAGTACTTTTCTATGCATGAATCCAAGCAAATGTATTCTTCCTACATTACAGTAAATAGCCTTTGTGTCCTTACAGGCACAATATCCTTGCATCAGGGTTATGTTCTATATATCTAAGATCACAAACCACTGTTATCATAAAAACACAATTTTTGGTTCTGTTGTCAGAAATATAACAATTTCTCATTTTGTAATCTCTTCATATGTAGAGATTTTTTTTGCCCTACAGTGTTTGTGTGTGTGTGTGTGTGTGTGCAGCATATATACCATGTAAAATGGCTTTGTGGCAAACTGTTTGGGAATTCTGCCATATAATGAGTGCAGTCTATCAGAAAATGTAAATCATGTTATTGCAGCATCCATTTTCTGATTGTAAAAGACAGTGACATTTGAGGAAGCTTTCCTTGCATAAACCAAATGTTATATTCAACAGATACTTGAATGCCTGCTATGTTTGAAAGCCATCCAAATCTTTGAATTTATATTCCAAAAGAGGAATCAAATATTATTTTATTTCAAACATTTTCTTATTAAAATATGAAAACAGACCAGCATGGAGTTAAAAATAATTCTCCAAATCCCACTCTGCTGTGGTTACCATTGTAAGAGCTTATGCAGATACAAGTATGTTTGCACAGTGTTAAAAACACACAAATGGGATCATACTTCAGCCACTGTTTGGCCCTTTGCTTTTTTTCAACTAATATCTCATTCTTTTCTATAGCTGTATCATAATTTATTTAATCTATTCCCTAATAATGGATATTTAGGTTACTTTCAGTTTTTTTTGTTATAAAAATGTGACACTTAAGAGTTTTTAAAGAGGAAAAAATAATCTAAAACCCCTCTTTTTATATTTCAGATGTTTCTCTTTTATGTACAGTTGTAAATATGATTTGCATAAAAATTATAAAATATTTTCAGCTTTTAAAAAATTGAGGTAAAATTTGCCATGTTAATAATTTTAAAGTGTATAATTCAGTGATTTTTAATACATTCACAGTATTGTACAGCCATCACAACTATCTAACTCAGGGACATTTCCATCACTTTAAAAAGAAATACATACCTGTTAGCAGATACTCCCAATTCCCCCCCCGGCCCCCATCACCTGGCATCCACTAATCTACTTTCTCTGGATGTGCCTTCCTGGACATTTCATATAAATGTACTCATATGTGGCCTTTGTGTCTTGCTGCTTTTACTTGGCATGTTTTCAAGGTTCATCCATGTTATAGTGTGTGACAGTACTTCATTTCTGTCTTAGCTCAAACTGCTATAACAAATACCATAGACTGGGTGGCTTAAACAACAAACATTTATTTCTCACAGTTCTGGAGGCTGAAAGTCCAAGGTCAGAATGCCATTGTGGTCGGGTTCTGGTGAGGATCCTCTTCCTGGTTTGCTTATGGCTGCCTTTTGCTTTATCTTCACATGGAGAAGGGAGAGAGAGCTGTGGTCTCTTCATCCCCTTATAATTATGGTTACCAATCCCATCATGGGGGCTCTACCCTCATGTAAATGTAATTATCACCCAAAGCCCTACTCCCAGATCCTCCTAATTGAGGATTAGGGCTTCAAGTTAGGGATTTGGTGATGGTGGTGAAGGGAGGGTGCACACATTCAGTCCACACCAATTCCTTTTCATTCCTGAATAGATATGGACACATCACATTTTGTTTATTCATTCATCTGCTGATGGGTGGTTTCCAGTTTGGGGCTGTTATGAATATACTGCTGTGAACATTCAGATATAAGTTTTTATATGGATGTATCTTTTTTATTATTGAAGTATAGTTGACATACTATGGATGTATATTTGTAATTCTCTGGGACACACACTTAGGAGTGGAATTGCTGGGTCATGTGATAACTTTATGTTTAACTTTTTGAGGAACTACCAAAATGTTTTCCAAAGTGGCTGTACCATTTTACATTTCCACCAGCAATATATGAAACTTCTAATTTCTCCATATCCTTGTCAAACCTTGGTATTGTCTGTCTTTTTGATTATAACCATCCTACTGTGTATAAAGGGGTATTTCATTTTGGTTTTAATTTGCATTTCCCTAATGACTAATGATGTTGAGCATCTTTTCATATGCTTGCTTTTCATTGGTATTTTTTGGAAAAAGTCTGTTCAAATCCTTTGCCCATTTTTAAATTGTATTGTCTTTTATTGTTGCATTGTAAGAGTGCTTTATATGTTATGGCTACTAGACCCTTATACATGATTTACAAAAGATCTTTCCCTTCCTGTGGGTTGTCTTTTTATTTGATACTGTCCTTTGACACACAAAAGGTTTTAATTTTAGTAAAGCTCAATTTATTTTTTTCTTTGAATACTGTGCTTATTATGTCATATTTTAAAAAACCATTGCTTAATCCAAGGTCATGCAGATTTTCACCTGTTTCCTTCTTAGAGTTTTACAGTTTATGTTTTTACATCTAGTCCTTTTTTTTTTTTTATCCATTTTGAGTTCCTTTTTGTATATGGGATACAAATACAAATGTATAAGGGGTACAGATTCATTATTTTGCATGTAAATATTCAGTTGTACCAACACCGTTTGTTGAAAAAACTATATTCTTTGCTTATTGAATGGTCTTGGTACCCTTGTGGAAATGAATTGGTCATAGATGTGTAGGTTTAGTTCTGGACTGTCGATTCTATCCCATTAATATATATGTCTATCCTTATGCCAGTACCACACTGTTTTAATTGCTCTAGCTTTGTAGTAAAGTTTGAAATCAGGAAGCATGAGGTTCTCTTTTGTTCTTTATTAAGATTGTTTTGGCTATTGGGGATCCCTTCTGCAATTCCACATGAGTTTTAGGATCAGGTTGTCCATTTCTGCAAAAAGGGCAGTTGGAATTTTGGTAGGGATTGCATTGAATCTGGTATTTTTAGTGTCCAAGCCTTGTACTTCCTTGGTTCAATTTATTCCTACATATTTTATTCCTTTGATGCTGGTGAAAATGTAATTGTTTTCTTAATTTCATTTTTGCATTGTTCGTTGCTAGGGTATAGAAATAAAACTGATTATTGTATATTGATTTTGTATCCTACCACTTTGCTGAACTCAATTGTTAGCTTAAATGATTATTTTTTCTGTGTGGATTCTTTAGAGTTTCTATGTTTAAAATCTTGTCATCCGTGAATAGAGATAGGTTTTCTTCTTCCTTTCTAGTCTGGGTAGCTCTTTTTTTCCTTGCTTAATTGCCCTAGCTAGATCACCAGTGCAGTGTTGAATAGAAGTTGCAAAAATGGGCATCCTTGTCTTTTCTGATCTTAAGAGAGAAGCTTTCAGTCTTTCACCATTGAGCATAATGGTAGCTGTAGGTTTTTCATAAATGCCCTTTATCATATTAAGGAATTTCCCTTCTATTCCTAGTTTGTTCAGTGTTTTTATCTGAAAGAACTATTTAGATTTTGTGAAAATACTTTTTCTGCCTTTATTGAGATGATCATGCAGTTTTTTCCCTTCATTCTATTAGTATGATGTACTACATTGATTTTTGTATGTTGATCCACCCTTGCGTTCCTGGAATAAATCTGAATTGGTCATGGTATATATTTGTTTTAATAAGCTGCTGGATTTCATTTTGCTGAGAATTTTTGCATCTGCATTCATAAGGGATATTGGTCTGTAGTTTTCTTGTGATATCTTTGTATTGCTTTGGCCTCATAGAATGGGTTAGGAAGTATTCCCTTCCCTTCTTGATAACATACTATAATACAGTTTCCCATTTAAGGTATAAACTTTTTCATGATCTTCATAATGACTCTTTTAATGACTATATAATATTCCTGGTACTATAATATTCCTGGTGCCAGAACTTGTGAGACCATTCCTTTTACATCTGTTTCAAAATTTTTTCTACTATTGGTAACACAGCAGTACCTTTTTATTCTGTGTTTCATTTTTTTTTTAAAGATTTTATTTATTTGACAGAGACATAGAGAGGGCACAAGCAGGGGGAGTGGGAGAGGGAGAACAGGCCTCCCGTGGAGGAGGGAGCCTGATGCGGGGCTCGATCCCAGGACCCTGGGATCATGACCTGAGCCGAAGGCAGACGCTTAATGGCTGAGCCACCCAGGCGCCCCCTGTGCTTCATTTTTTAAGTGCACGCTTTGTATTTAAAATCAGACTACTATAAGGATTCTTAATAAAGTATAATCGGATGGAGTTCTGATAATTCTGAGAATTTTTTTTCCTATTATTTGATTTAGAGTTTTTATCCATAATATTGCAAAGTGGCAGGCATTTTTTAATTTTAATTGCTGACTTCACTCATTTCATGAGTAGAGTGGAAAACTATCCCCAACTACTCACTAAAAATGTACATGACTGACTAGGACATAGGAACAAAAATGAGGCCTGCCTTAGTAATGTGTTTCCCCACCTCTGAAAGTGGAGTGTGGGTATTCTGTTGCCATGGATGTTTGCTATTTATATATTCTGAAAGGTTTAAAGTGCTCTCTTGTCTTTGTGGGACCTTGCAATGATGAGCAGTAAATTATCCAAGAAGATAATTATAAATTATGTGTTGGGATTAATATAGATTAAAATCGTTAACTATAACTTAAAAATTCCTGTTACCTCTGTTGTGATTAAAAACTACATTTGTTTAAATCTTTTTAACAGATGTTTCAGTTACTACTAAAGTAAATATAAAGGGTTCATAGATTCTCTGGGAAGAGAAATACTAACTACTTGATAAGGCAGGGTTTTAACCTTACAGTGAACTAGCATCAAAGCATTTTGCTTTTCTGATAGTCTTCTTTGCTTGCAGTCCTTTTATTATTAAAGCTATATTTGATTAGTGTTAGAGCCTGAGAAATTACTGTTGAGCAGGGAACCATAGAAAATTTAAAGAGTGAGTAATTCAGCTGTCACACTTGAAACCTAAAGGTGCAGTTTGAAATTACACATCAGTTGTTACAGAAATGAGCTTACTCATGAAATTTTGCTGCATACTGCAGAAAATATGGCAGAGGTTTGATTTAATTCTCCCTACTTGTCACAGTTACTGATTATAATATAAATATACTAAATATTTTTGTCCATGAAAAATATGGAATAAGAATTATTAAGCATTTTTAGCTTGAGATATAAAATGGAAAATTGCTCGTCTAATAAATATACAGGAGCTCATACAGTTAATTCTGATGTACATCTGCAACTCTAATCCCATATCTCCAATTGACTACTTGACATTTCCACTTGGATGACCTTATTATTTAATGTACCTATTATCTGATGCCAAGTCCTTGATCAGTAATGTAGCTTCCAGTTACAGTGTTTCCACGGGGAAAAAAATAGACTCCGCTTTGTGACATGTCTTACAGTGTAGTGAAAAATGACTATTGTCATTTTGAAGGACATTTGCACTTGCTGCTTTCATTATCACTACAAACTTTCCATATTCTAAATTGCCTTCTTCTCTCATTCCAAACTACCTGCAAGGCAAGACAGCCCAGCATAGTTGAAAGCACCAGACTTGTGTCCCAGTGTGGATACTGGCACTAGCCATATGACCCTCCCTAGACATCATTTTTCCTTATTTGTAAAATGAGGGTGTTGGACTAGAAGATCTATAATATTGCCTCTGGTCTCTTGCTATAAAAAATTGAGGTCTTTTAAGTGCATTACCCTGGATGGGTTGTATGACTGTGAAATGTGGCCAGTTTTCTTCTGGTTTCAACAAATGGTCATCTATCATCCATTCAGTTATCAAACATCTGGCTGTCTCAGTCAGAGGAACATGTGACTCTTGATCCCAGAGTTGTGAGTTTGAGCACCATGTTGTGTGTAGAGATGACTTAAAAATAAAATCTTAAAAACAGCCTTGTGAATTGTTTTTCATTTAAAATTCTCCCTATTTATTCCCATTTTTCTTTGCATTTTTATCTTAGTCCAAGTCTAGATCAAATAAGAACTTCCTGTCTGATTCTAGTCTTTCCTCACTCTGTTTTGTCCCTGTACTGCTTTTTAACTCATCTTCCCTCAAGACTAGTTTCATCAAGTTACTTCTACTTAGAAAATGTTACTGGCCTACTTCTGCATATCATATAACAGCTTGTTCATCCATTGAGTTTTCAATTCCATAGCACTGATTTTCTATTGTTTTTTTTTAAGATTTTATTTATTTGAGAGCGAGAGAGGGAGAGCATGAGAGCGGGGTGAGGGGCAGAGGGAAAAGCAGACTCCCCGCTGAGCAGGGAGCCTGGACACAGGGCTCAATCCCAGGACCCTGGGATCATGACCTGAGCTGAAGGCAGACGCTTAACCAACTGAGCCACCCAGATCCCCCGATTTTCTGTTTTAATTATATTAGTCTCCTTATCCTCATCCTATTTTTTTTTTAAATCTGTGGTTTTACCAAGTTGTTCTTCTTACTTGAATGCCTTCTCCTTTTCCCCATTCTGTGATTCTGAGAGTACCTTGTGAAAGTTCACCCACTTTAGCAACATGTGGAATTCTCTGATGGCTTATGCTACCTTTTATAAGGGTACAAAACCATGGAAAGAGATGGAAAAAGGAAGACACATTTGTTTATTGAGTGTTGCCTTGTGCCAGGCCTATCACCTCATGTAAATTTCTCAACAGTCCTTTGAGATGGGTGGCATTAACCATTACTCTGGGGCTCAAAGAAGCAAACTAACCTCCACAAGATCACATGGCTAGTGAGCAGCAGAACTGGGATTTAAACTCTGGCATCTTTTTACTTCTCCCTGAAAAAAAAAATAGCTGAAGAACCACTAGTTGCCTTCTTTATCCAACCCCCCACCCCCAGCAAACACATAAGTAGAACCAAAGGCACAAATTTAAGTGCTTAACATATAGTCTTTTACCTAGCGGATGTTCACTAAAGATTTAAATGGAAATTGTTCTTAAATTTTGAGAGTATACATATTTTGATAATTCCTTTACCTAATATATCAAAGGAGCTTGAAGTAGGGGAGGCCTTTCATCTGATAAGGACTGTTTCATTTTGTTTTAGGAATCCCAGGGAGATCTTTAATGTAGTAGTGTTGTATTTGAAGTCTTTCAAAGGGAAAATAGCAAAACATTTTCTTTTTTGACATTAAAGACTGAAAGATGGCCTTCATCTATGCATTCAGCAATTCTTTCATGACACTGACTAGGTAACATCAAAGCTAAGGGTGAATGAACAATTCAAGCAGTGTTAAGTTAATGAGATTTTAACGGAAGTCATACAAATTGTTGGTAGTCATTTATGTACTTGGACTCATCAGTGACTGTTAAAATGAAAATGTGGTTTTTAACAGGAATAGGTAACTTAGACAATTTCATTATAAGCATCATGGTCACCTTGCATGGTGATCAACCCCATTTTTGTATCTTCGTTTATCTCTTCTGTGCAGCTGACTCCCCATTGCCTGTCCCCTTGTAGCTCTCCTAAGCTTTAATCCTGCAGCTTTAACTCACTGCTAGATATTTCTGTTGATGACCTGTCATTTCAAACCTAGCATTTGTCATTTGCTATTTTGTATAATTGTATGTTTGTGTTATTATCTTACCCAGTAGAGTACAAAGTTTTTAAGGACCATGACTTAAAATCCTTTGAATCCCCTGTACCTATTAGAGTGCTCAGGTATAGTAGGAGGCCAGATGTGTGTGATTGCAATAATCTTTGTGGCAAAAGTAGCTTTTCTCTTTTGGTAACCTCAGAAGCGTAGTAATCTTCCAGAGTTCAGATGCAATTGCAAAGGACAACAACAACAAAAAGGTGGTATTTTGTACCTTGTAAAAATGAAAGCATTATCTTTGAAAATTACGTACTCCTTGTAGAAGAAATTATCTTTCTGGTGAATGACAAATTTGTTTATTTTTAAAAGTTTATTTATTTAAGTATCTCTCTATACCCAATGTGGGACTCAAACTCATGACTCCAAGATCAAATGTTGCATGTTCTTCCAACTGAGCCAGCCAGGTGTCCCTAAACACATTTATTTAAAATTAAAACCATTCTGACTTTTGGAGGTGATAGATATATTTATTACCCTGATTGTGGTGATGGTTTCATGGACATATGCTTATGTCCAAAGTCCTCAAATTATATGTATTAGATATGTACTGTTCTTTGTATCACATATGACTCAAGATAGCTGTTAAAAAATGAGATCCATTCTATTTTTATTAGGCAGTATAAAATTATAGCACATTATTTTTTGGTGTGCATCTCACTTTAAAGTGATTTTCTGTGTATTAGGCTTGCTTGCTTTTCCTCCTTTGTCTACACATTGTCTCAGCATTTTTCTAATTTTTCTTTTATAATGCTTCTGATTTTTAAAGTGTTTTGCTCTATATTAACAGCATATTTTAAATTATTTTAATTGCCTTGTTAATACTGACTTGAGCACAAGGACCATGGCTTATTTGTCTTATATTGACAGTATGTCCAGCATAGTGTTAGGCAAAGAGCCAGGTAATGGCAGATCAGTCCTGTCTCCTGAGATGGAGACAGAACAGTGTTCCTTATTCATCATGCTGTGTGAGCCCTAGCCTACATTCACACTGTGAATTAAAAACCCTAATGATGATTGACTCTTAAGTTAGCATTTTATTAACAGGTCTTGATTATGATTTTCAGCTTTTGGAAAGTATCTCATTGAGTGACTGTATACAAAGAATATGTTGATGTTGCTGCTTTGTCTAAAATAGTGAATCAGAATTAATGTCTTCTCATTCTGTATTTGTCATTAAAAAGTAATTTTTAATCAATATGAAAAATGTTGTGGTATTTAAAATGTATTTTTGAAAAATTTTGCTTTTCCTACCCCCTTCTTATTTTTATAAAGTTACCAGGCAGTGACATTGCCAGTGGGAGTGATGTACTTTCTGATGTCATACCCAGTATTCCCAGTTCACCTTGCCTGCTTCCTAAAAAGAAAAATAAGCACCGGAATTTAGATGAACTTCCTTGGAGTGCAATGACAAACGATGAGCAGGTAGGGATCTTGACGTTCTTAATTGAAAGCATACATGTAGAGACTATGTGAAACTCATTGTATTGCCTGTTTAAAGTTACTGGGTAAATGTGGATTGCTTAGTAAAATCTGAGGGGGAGCTTTAACTGTTTTGCAGGGAACACCTATCATGTTAAGTACTTTTGATATTTGAAACACATTATAAATGACACACTAAAATATCAGAGGTTTTGGCACTGATCTTGTTTATTATAATTTTTCATCACGTAGGTGGAATATATTGAGTATCTGAGTCGTAAAGTCAGTACGGAGATGGGTCTTCGGGAGCAACTTGATATTATAAAAATAATTGATCCTTCTGCTCAAATTTCCCCTACAGACAGTGAGTTTATTATTGAACTTAACTGTCTCACAGATGAAAAACTGAAGCAGGTATGTAAAGAAAATACAGATTGTATAGCTATGAAGAAAACCATTGGTTTATAGTATGTAGACTTGAATAATCATATTTTAAAATACACAAATAATTAAGGTCCAAATCACTGCTGTGAAATGTAATATTAGAAAAAATGATGGCAGTATTTGAGAGCACATGGTTGTAAGGTTTTAGGTACATCTCACCTGGCAGGGCCTTTCTGGGATCATGTGGATCTAGAACCTCCTGTTTAGTTGTGTAGGCTTTGCAACTTAATTTTACCACTTAAGGGGTGGTTATGCTATTTATTTATTCTAACTCACCTTAAAAAAGAGTAATTGACAGAATCAAAATACTGATTATTGAGGACTATACCTGAGTGAACATCTGAATTGGGGGATTTCAGTAGTCTTATGGAGTGATTGAGCCTGGCTAGGGTAAAATGTAATTTTCCTTCTGCTATTCTGAAATACACATTTCTGGTATCTTCTAAATAATCTGTACTGCTCTTTTTCAGTACATAGTTGAATGAATACTTATGTTCTCTTTTCATTTTTTAAGTTTTTTTTTTGCCTTTATCATCACTTTAAAAAATTTTTTTATTTCACTATTTTTCTCAACAGACATACTATAATTTTCTACATTCCAGCTCATTTTTCATTAGTATTGAAATTGTGCCTTGCATTTGAAGACAGGTACCATGGGCCCCTAGCTAAGATTTAGGAAACACCCTAATCTTAGATATAATCAGCAACTTACTTAAATCATATTAAGACCTTTAAAAAATGCCTAATCTGATTTGTTTTATTGTTAATTTCTCTGAGTGTTATTTTTTTTTAAGACTATTTGAGAGAGAGAGAGAGAGAGAGTAAGCCGTGGGAGGGGCAGAGGGAGAAGGAGAAAGAGAAACCAGCAGACTGCCTGCTCAGTGCAGAGCCCAGCTCAGGGCTTGATATCATGACCCTGAGGTCACGACCTGAGCTGAAACCAAGAGTTGGACACTTAACCAACTATGCCACCCAGGCTTCCCTGAATGTTATTTTCTTATAATCCTAAATTCTGGAGGCTCGTAGGCTTCCATTTGCTGATTATATTTTATATGGTTTTTTAAAAAATTTTTTTAAGATTTTATTTATTTGACAGAGAGAGAGACAGTGAGAGAGGGAACACAAGCAGGGGGAGTGGGAAGGGGAGAAGCAGACCTCCTGCGGAGCAGGGAGCCTGATGTGGGACTCAATCCCAGGACCCCGGGATCATGACCTGAGCTGAAGGCAGACGCTTAACGACTGAGTCACCTAGGTGCCCCTATATGTTTTTAAAATATAGCTCCACAATATATATTCTAGAATTTTGAACATTGTCAATTTTTCTGGTATTGTTTCTACATTTAGAGATTTCTTTCATCCTTATAGTCTACTTATGTATATCTCTAGCACTTTTTTATTTGATTTATTTATTTAACAATATTGTCTATTAAATATTAGGATACAAAACAGTTTTAAAATGATCCTTGTCTTCACGGAGCCTACAACTCAGGAAAGAGCCAAAGAAATCAACCTAGATTATAATCCAAGTTTACAAATCTATATTCAATAAATGTTATTTTTATTTCTTTATAATTACTGTCTTTTATTCTATTTGTTAAGCATCTATTAAAGTTATTTTTTTGGTACACTAATCAAAAGCAAGAAATTAACATAGATACAGTACTATTAAATAATCTACAGATTGTATTCAGGCTACACCAGTTTTTCAACTAATGTCTTGTTTTATCCCAGGATCCAATCCAACCTTTTTTTTTAAGTCTTTATTTAAATTCTAGTTAGTTAACGTACAGTATAATATTAGTTTCAGGTGTACAATTTAGTGATTCAGCACCTATGGACAATACCCGGTGCTCCTCACAAGTGCCCTCCTTAATCCCCATCACCTATTTAATTCATCCCCTCACCCTCCTCCCCTCTGGTAACCATCAGTGTGTTCTCTATAGTTAAAGAGTCTGTTTCTTGGTTTTCCTCTCTCACTCTTTTATTCCCTATGCTCATTTGTTTTGTTTCTTAAATTCCACGTATGAGTGAAATCATATGGTATTTGTCTTCTCCGACTGACTTATTTCGCTTACCATAATACTCTCTAGCTCTATCCACGTCATTGCAAATGGCAAGATTTCATTCTTTTTGATGGCTGAGTAATATTCTATTGTATATATATATACCCCATCTTCTTTATCCATTCATCAGTTGATGGACATTTGGGCTCTTTCCATAATTTGGCTGTTGTTGATAATGCTGGTATAAACATGGGGGGGAGCATGTATCTCTTCGAATTAGTATTTTTGTATTCTTTGGGTAAATACCTAGTGGTACAATTGCTGGATCATGGGGTAGCTCTATTTTTAGCCTTTTGCAGAGCCTCCATACTGTTCTCCAGAGTGGCTGCATCAGTTTGTATTCCCAACAACAGTGCAGGAGGGTTCCCCTTTCTCCGTATCCTCACCAACACTTGGTGTTTCTTGTGTTGTTGATTTCAGCCATTCTGACAGGTGTGAGGTGGTATCTCATTGTAGTTTTTTTTTAAGATTTTTATTTGAGGGAGAGAGTGAGCAAAGGGGAGAGAGAGAACATGAGCAGGGTGGGGGGAGGAGCAGAGGAAGAAGCAGACTCCCTGCTGAGCAGGGAGCCCGATGGATTGGATGCGGGGCTCCATCCCAAGCCTCCAGGATCATGACCTGAGCCGAAGGCAGATGCTTAACGACTGAGCCACCCAGGCGCCCCTCATTGTAGTTTTGATTTGCATTCCCCTGATGATGAGTACATCTGTAGCACTTCTGATAATGTCTCTCATTATGTACAGTGTTCTTTTTGCCAGTATTTTGAGGGAGCATGTCAAAGAATGACACTGACCAGTTTTTGTCTGTGTGTTCCAAGGTCAGAAACTATATCAAGGAGCATAGCCCTCGCCAACGGCCTGCAAGAGAGGCCTGGAAGAGAAGCAACTTTAGTTGCGCAAGCACCAGTGGAGTGAGCGGGGCCAGTGCCAGCGCCAGCAGCAGCAGTGCCAGCATGGTCAGTTCTGCAAGCAGCAGTGGGTCCAGTGTTGGAAACTCTGCTTCAAACTCCAGTGCCAACATGAGTCGAGCACACAGTGACAGCAACTTGTCTGCAAGTGCAGCAGAGCGGATTCGGGATTCAAAAGTAAAATGTCTAATCAATACAAAACTTTACCTTTCAATATTAACATTAGTACTCCTTCATATAAATATCTTGAAGAGGTCAAATCATCTTGCTCTCTAGATGCCTGTGGGTTTGGCTTTAAGTGAACAAGCAGGATATTCTGCTGTTGAGTAAAGGCCTTTAGGCTGAGTGCTTTGAAATACTGTTTTGACCCACAGCCGTATCACATTCAATTTTCTGATTTTTATGTCTGTTTTAAGTAAGATAAATTGATGGAAATAGTGAGTGAGTCTCAGGATTGCAGTGTCGACTGCAACTCACTACTGAGCGGATCTCACTATGTTGCTGATGTTGCTGTCTATTAGCTCCTAAGAATGTTCTGCATGTCTTGTGTGTGTGTGTATTAAATGTTTTCTTAATGTTTTAATCTTGAATGTTCTTAGATCTTTTAAATTATAATAACACTTCTAATTTCTGTCTATTCACAGCTGAAGAATTCTTTGTAATACTTTTGGGCACATAAAAAAAATAGGTGTAAGTGTATTTAGAATGGTTTTGTGATGCTTAGGTAAGTTCAGTTCCTCGCAGTGGTGATAGTTTGGAGCCAACTTAAGGAAGAGAAAGGTATCTCTATAACTCTTTGGGAACCTTCAGTGGGTGACTAGAAGATAGACAGTGATTCCTTCCCTGGCTCTTACCAAAGTAGGAGAAACATAGCCAGCTTTGTTGGTTGCCTGGGGATTCCTCTGGATATGTGGTCATTCCTTTTTTGCATCAGTTCACCAGTGACAAGGAATGGAGTACCCACTGGGTTTCTAATGGGCTTTTAAGATGGTATTTGCCTAATATGGAAAAGACATGATTCTTTCCCAGCCGTTGTAAAATCGCTACTGCTTTTGGATAAAAGACACCTTAAAAGCATAAGCATTAGAGATTTTGGCAATGTTCTCTACATTGGTATTCAGTATTTATTATGTGTTCACTCCGCAGTGACGCCAATGTCCCTTAATCTGGTAAAAAAAAAAAAAAAAGAGGCTTTGAAATGACTGATTATCCATAACTAGGCAAAATGATCGGGTTTCAATTCTTCCTAAGATTCATGGGTCAAATACCATAAAAATAGGATCTTGAAGAATCATTTTCAAGTCTAAGCCCATGGCTCACTTACTGGAACCAGGATCGTACTGCAGAGGAATTTGAACATCTCCAGAGATTCTAAGAATACAGAATTTGATCCATAAAATATTCTGGGGTGGATATGCCAGAACTGAACCTTACTGATTTAGAAATTTGTATTTTGACAGAAGCGATCCAAGCAGCGGAAGTTACAGCAGAAGGCTTTACGCAAGAGGCAGCTGAAAGAACAGAGGCAGGCTCGGAAGGAGAGGCTCAGTGGGCTCTTCCTTAATGAAGAAGTGCTGTCCTTGAAAGTGACTGAGGAAGACCACGAAGCAGATGTAGATGTTTTGATGTAATAAGGATGAATTTATCAGCATTCTTTCTAAGCATTTAAGTATTCTGTCCTTTTATTTGTTTACATGCATCTTGACCAAACTTTTGGTTAGGGCTGTGCTGATGTACCGTTAATAATTTAGGCCAGTGGTTCTCAGCAGGTGGTCCCCGGACCAGCAGCTTCAGCATCACCTGAGAAGTTGTTAGAAATGCATACTACCAGGCCCCATTCCAGATCCAGTGAATCAGAAACCCTGGAGGAGGGGCCCAGCATTGTGTTTTAACAAGCACCAGGTTATTCTGCTGCACGCAGCTCTTGTTTTAAGAACCACTAATTTAGTAAATGTTTTGACTGTTTAGACTTTAGGGTGGTTTAAGTGGGCTTTTTCAAGAAGTAGTACTTTTACAGTTTAGAGGATTTCAAGGTACTGCTGACAAGTAGTTTATTATGTCAGTATAGGTACATACGTAGCGATCATAATTCAGTTTCCTTTTTAATGTTACAGTTCCTTAGTTTGCTTTTTCTAAAGGGCCATAGTATTATTCTCAATTCCTAGTGAAAATCCTTTTTTGAGGTTGTGGGGGTGGGGTGTGAATTGCAGTTTACAATAGTGCCTTCATTAGGTTTAGTTCTGTTTTCATTTGTTATTAACTTAAAGGTGTAATAACAGGCCCTAATATCTTTCCTGTTAGGTTTGTTTTTCACTTTATGTAAATTCAGAATTCTTTTGTAAGTGAGGACTACTGAGGAAATGATGTTACTAGTAGCTGAACTTTAGACCTGATGCTATATTGATTAATATTCAAATGGAGAAAGCAATTAAGCAAAACAACCGATTCTGCTTTTCCACTGCTTTTTGAAATTTTAGGCTGTGAAGCTGTCTCAGAGGCATAAACTATGTCTTAAGTTCTTTTTGTAGGTCGTTTTTTTTTTCCAGCACAGCTCTAATTTTTAAATATTTGGTATAACAGCTTCTGGCATGTGAACAGGTTAATGTTCAAAGTTAACTAAAAACCCTTACAGTTCTCCTAAACTTCTCTATAAATCACTAGAAATACACAGAACAGTGAGATGTAGAAAAAAACCGTAGCTTGTTGGCTATTAATAGAAGTCTAATTTTAGATGTGAAATCATGGAATTTCTTTAAATGTTTTCATGGAGAGTTTGTTATCATGAACATTAGGAGTAGTGTAATTCCTTTTCTTCTACCACATGTCTTTAAGCATTCACGTGGGTTAAAGAAGATGGAAACTGATACTACTGACAATCAAGCTGCTGACTTTCATAATTTTCTTTTTATTGTGGATAACTTGGGAGGTAATCATGATTCTGTAGGAGTTGTAATCAATGTTTTTTTAAACTCTAGAGTCAGGTTGATAGGATTTTTACTTTTTTTAACTATCATATCAAGTGACTCATTAAGAAAGAGATAGACTTAAGTTCTTAATTCTCAGTTGATATAAAGGCTTAACCTTGGCTTACAATCATGTGTTTTGAAAACTTGATTTTACTTTAGTTCCTTGAAGGTTAAAGGATTGAAAGGATAAAAATTGATGTATTGCAGCTTTGCTGAGGTCTGTGGTATGGTAGATTTTGAAGACTACTAAATTCATACTTAAAAATTTTACCTAAAATGAAAGTATGTGTATATGGTTATCAGTTGGATTACTCCCTCTGACTTTCCTCTTACCCTTTCTTTGATGCTCCTAACCACCTTTAGAGGGCCCAAAGAGAGCTTGGGGTTAGACCCCAGAATACTTTGAGGAAGGTGGAAAGGGTCAACCTCATTGTGTTTTCCCTTCCAAGTATAGGAGGAGTAAAAGGAGAGAAGAGCAAATAAAGCTGAATTTTCTACCTGCTCTTAGCAAAAGCAAAATCCCAGAGAATGACTTGTCTGTTCTCTTTACCTACTCTTCCAGGAAAACAGTCCACTTTTGGAGACCATAGAGCAGCATTTATCTGTTAAATACTTGGAAACAATTGACAATGACCAGTAAAAGAAAGTCCTAACAGGGTCATGATAAAATAAGACCAATTTTTCCACTCTCCCAACAATCACATAATCTTATTACCTTAGATTTAACTTAAGTCACTATTAAACAAGTTTACCAAAGTACCACAAAGCCAGTTTTAAAAGTTTATAAAGATTTGAGTGTTTATAGTAAATTATGCCATGAAATTTTGTGTAAATCTGGATGCACTGTCTTTACAGTACTATGAATTAGAGATTGCCCATAAAGTTGGTTTAGAGGGGATTGAAAGTAATTCCTCTGATTAAAAGAAAAAAAATTAAAAGAACTTGGGTTTGCTTGTGATGTGGAAGAGGGAGATTACAAAGTCTTTCTCCATCTCTCCCCCCATAAAAAAAAAAAAAACAGTAAAAAAGTTCTCTCGTTTTTGTTAATGTGCCATACTGTTTTTTTCTGTTTTAATATCTCATGTAGATAGTTCAAGTTGGAATTCTTTCTTTCTTGGAATAAGTAATAATTTATTCAGTCTGGTATATCTCTGAGTTTAAGACAAATCCAACTCAGCATTTTTTCTTTTTAAATATAAACCTAAACTAACCAATTAATAAAAACGTGAGACTTATTTGCTCCAGTGTCAGTTGTCATCTGTAGAGAATGGATACTGGAGCAAATAAGTTTCTTCCCCCCTTTAAACATAACCTTTGTTAACTTAGGGCATGATCAAGTTCCCTCAGATTTTTAGAAAAACATTAGAGATCTTTATGTAAGTTTAATTATATCTCAATAAAACTGGAAAGAAAAGGAGCTCTTGTAGAAGTCTGTCAGTGCCCACCACATGTATGAACTTTAAGTTAAACAAAATGGCATGTCTTTTTCTACAGTTTTACAACTGAATTAAAGTATGGCAAAGTAGTATAATGTTTAGTGGACTATAAAGAGCGAATTCATTCTGCCCTAACAAGAACATAGAATAAAATAACGCTTTTTTTCATGAGAGAGACTTGTCTCATTTTTTCTTAGGTTGGGGCAGTTTTGTCCATTTCCTTAGCCCTTTCGGTTAACTATAGATAGGTATTGCTGAATTAATCCCAGAAACTGACTTGTAATTTAATGACTTTATGAATTGGGTGGAGGCCTCATTTTATTTAGCTCCTAAAAGTGCTAATTCCCTCTTAAAGGAAAAATTCCTAGAAACTACTGTATGAAGGTATCCAGATTCTGATGAGCTTTAAAAATTGTGAAATTTATCATGTATCTTCATATTTAAGCCAAAAATGTTAGTACTTGACAAATATAGAAGTCTTGTTTCCAGATTCTGTAGCAGAGACTTTTGTTCATGGCTTACTTTATAGCCTCATGTGCCTTAAAGGTGAACTCTGTACTTTTTCTCAATATCAGGCTTTTTCAAACTCAAAAATAATCTAAATATTGTAATTTGTTTTATAAAATCCCCATGCTGTTGGATATCAGTAAGCAAAAACATTAAATTGAACCAATCAGTGGTAATAGTGTATAACAAAACAGTGACCTTTCAGATCTTAAATTTCATTACATAACTTCATTTTTGGCCCAGCTAGGTCATTGAAGAACACTGAAAGTTACCTTAAGTAGAGCTTAATGTATTCTCTCATTTTTTCCCCTGAAAAAGGTCATAAGCCCCAGAATGCTTTTTTAATGCCAGGTAATTCTTAGTATCTGGAAAGATAATTTTAAAGACAAAAGTACATCAAGAACAGAGATTATATAGCAGCTTGATTCTCTTGTTAGAAATTTAGGGATTCTTTGCATTCATTTGTGTAATAGCTGGAACACTCCCCTCCCCTTTAACAGATTACCTGTTAGCTCTTCTGTCTTCGAGAAATGTTTGCTTAGAATTGGGAGGGGGTTACTTAAAGTCAGTTTATAGTTTGGGACAGTTGATAGGAAAATTCCCAGTTGTATTTCAAATATGGTATTGGTGTTGAGCACACTGACATTCAACATGTCTAAACTTAGAGGTAAATCTAATCCTGAAAAGGACTGTTAGTTAGAAAATAAGTATTTGTATACACATGTATTGTGGTAACTTTGGATTCATTTTAAGTCTGACAAAGTAAGATAAATTCTATCTTTACAATGAAATTATGCTAAGTGGGTGAGAAACATCGGAGAGATATTTAGACCTAGGCATCTCTGTCAGCATAGTATCTGGAACATAGCTCCTTAGAATTCTAGCTTAATTCTCATTTCTTTGGAAAATAATTTACTTATTCCAAAGGCTTAGAAGGAACCCTGAAAATTCCTCTGATTTACTGGCTATTAATAGAGTACAGAAGTTGCATGCTATAGCTGCAGATAAGTTGACTCACTAAAATTTTATTTTCATATTTTTTCTAATATTAAAATTATTTATTTTAAGCCCCCCTCACAATTTTATTTTAAATTAAAGTTATTAATGTTTTAACCTAGATCACATGATGGTAAGTTAATTTTTAATTTGACATTCATACTGAACTCTGAAAAACTGGTTTGGTCTTCTCTGATTTCAATATATAGTATTTTTTCTTTATCGTCAGGTTTGTTACATCTTTGTGGTCAGTGGAACCTGTGGAAATCTGTGTTCTTTTTTTGTGGTGAGGGCTAGGGGTAGAAAAGAGGAGAATTGCTCTAATTATACATATGCATTTTGACTATATAAAGGTAGTTGTAGAATTAATATGTATAAATGACAAGTTAACACTTACCTACTCTGACTTGTTCTAAGGAACAGTGGCCTGAAGCCATGGCTTGTTTTCTGGAGCTGCTTGCTCTTCAATAGTAGCTGACCAATTGGATTTAAGTTTGGACTTTGGGGTTAGGTTATCTAGCTGAGGCTTTTAGGAATGGATCAGACTATGTCTGTTCCTGTAGTGGATCAATTTAATTTCCTCTTTGAGTACTCTAATTTAGGTAAAGTTATTATCCATTCTAAATCTTTGTGTTGGGAGTTTAATAGGACTATTGTCAAAAGCTATTAAAGATAAACACAAGTATATGTAAAACATTTCATTTCACGGATGGTTAAAAATTTCACTTTTTTTCAGTTTCAGAGGTTAGTTATGTAGCATCAATATCATAACCAAAGCAAGTAGGAAGTTGACTGGTTTGGAGAATCTTCAAGTAGTCTTAAATACTGTAATGTATCAGATTGTTAACCAGGATTTTTTTCCTGTATTTCTGCTAAATGTATTACTATATTAATGCACTTTTGTATATATAACTGTCTTCTGTACATTCTGTACTTACTACAATGTATATAAAAGCTGTTTTTCCTGAAAGCTGTAAGGGAAAGACAATAGCTGTAACACAGGTCGTTTCTATTTTGAGTTCCTTCTTGTACTTGAAAGTAGTAGTTCTGTAGTTAAATCTGAATGTGTATGTATGGTTGTAATTAAAACTGGCAACGTGGCAGAGCTGTCTTTTGAAGCTGAATATCAGACTGAACAGTGTGTTGTTTTGGGTATTAAAATCTCTTGTAATATTTTGTTTCTTTTGATGTACAGTGAGTTTTTACAAACCCCACTGCTGCTTACTACTTTATACTTCATAATTCACTCCTTTACATGTTCCATCCCAGCACATTTATCAACAGAGAAGAATTAGGTCTCCTCTCTTTTGCTCACAGTTTGGTTAAGGCTCCATAAACTTTTGTTTTGTTGAAAGCCACAATTTCCATTGGCAAATCATTTTTTTCTGGAGAGATCAGATTTCTAGAGAGATAGCATTCATAGCAAGTGAAAATTAGGTCTAACTTTTGTTTACAAAAATCATATCTGTTTTCCTTATATATTAATCTAGAGTCTTTAGGTTATAATTATATAAAATGTCTGTGAGCAGTTTTATATAGTTTCAGAAGCAACTCAACTTTCAACAGCAACTTTATCTCTTGCCACTAGAGGGAGGTCTGTGGTTGCTCTCCTTCTGAAAATGTCTTAGCTGCTTTTCTTTTGTTTTTAATTTCAGAGGTTGAAATCAACCTCATTTTCAAAATTCCTTTTGTGATATTAAATACTTTCATTGATTAGTGGAAGCTAAGTTAATTGAGCTTGTTTAATAAAGCAAATCTTATGCTTTTCTGTAATCTTCAATTTTTAATAAACGTCTGTTAGCTATTAAGTGAAACGTGTGTGTGTGTGTTTTTCTTCTCTTAGGTACTTTAGAACTGTACTGTCCACTGTGGTAGCCATTAGCCACATGTAGCTATTTAAATGAATTAAAATTTAAAATTTAGTTCCTTGGTCCCATTAGCAATACTTCAAAGTGCCCAGTAGCCGCATATGGCAAGAGGCTACCATATTGGAAACCCCAGGATACAGAACACCTCCACCATCACAGGAAGTGTCTACTGGACAGAGGAAGTTCTACGAGAGATTTGATGGTTTCTGGGATGCCCGCTGTCATCATCTTACCAGTGAACAGTAATCAGTGATTCAAAATTGCTTCCTACAGTTAACTGTTGTAGGTGATTTGTGTGAGGGGGAGAGCAAGCTGGGCTTCATTTTTCTACTTAATTAAAGCCACTACCAAAGTTGGAACTTGGTGGTTTAATAGAGAAATTTCTCAAATACTGAGTATTTCACTTGACTGTGAATAAGATTTTTTAAAGACTCTATTTTTCAAAACTGCTTAGAGTGTTTCTTTATTCTTGTGATGTGAGAGCCTTAACAGGGT